ACAAAATTAAGTTCAAAAGTGTCAAATTTATGAAAATGCTCATACAAAATTGAAGACGAATTGCCATGTATGTTTAAGTATTTAGCAAGAATGTTGCATATGTTTTTCAAAACTTGAGTTTCTTGAAAACCCACATGAAAATTGACAAGCCACAAGAAAACAACAAGTACCTTTTTAAGTTCATCTTGGACCTCCGACAACTTTGCAATGGATAGAACAAGCTCATGATTTGCTCAGTATTGTCCTCCATGATTTTCTCTCCAATCTCGGGTTTCTTACCCTTGTCAGCCACCATTTCAGAAACCTGTAATGGAGTGATGAAAGCCCCGAAATGGTTCTTGCTCTGGTGACGGAGATAATTTGTTTGAAAGGAAACAAGAAGTAGGTTGTTTTTTAAAGGGTTGAAACCCTTGAAGCAGACTCCCTAACATGGGTTTGGAGCAGATTTTGCTGGAAGATCTTAAACAAACCAAGTTATTTTCTATGATGTATATACATTAGTAGATTACATTAAAATACTTCTCCAAATCACTATAAATGATCCCTAAAGGAATTAACAAAACATGTGAAATCCGTAAATGAAAGGATAGGGAAACCAAATTCAATCTAACCTAAATTCAAATAAAACCAAAAACCCGAAATGGATAGGGAAATGTGATCGATAATGAAAGCTTACCTGAATGTCAACATACAAAGATGAAGGCTTACCTGAATGCCTTGATTCATCTTCATGATGAATAGAATGGATATATCGTCTATGAAATCATCACTGAGAACCCAATATCAAAACAAATTTCTAAATAAACTTCAGACATCCAAGATATGAGCAAAGCAACATTTTAGCTCTCAAGCCTGGCTAAGGCGAAAGCTCTTAGGCGGCCATTGCAAATGTCTGCGAGAAACAAGCCTTAAGATTGTCATCACCAGTATCAAAAAATAAATCAAAACCAAAACTTCACAAAATTTTTGAAACTCACCCAGAAATCATCAACAACTTGAAAGGAGAAGATTGAGCGAGAGTGGAAGAGAAGAAAACCCTAATGGGTTTAATCAATGGAAGCAGAAACCAAAAATCATAAGAAAAATCCATAACTTGGCACTGGTTTTCCTCTTTGACAGCAGAAACCAAAAATCATAAGAAAAATTGTGCAAAAAAACCAAAAATCAACTAACAAAAGCCATAGATTTAGAGGTTTCAAACCTATTACAATAATACAATGGTTTTAATCAGTTGTCCAAAAGAGGAGCGATTCAAGTGGGCGATTGATTGAGAGTGGGAAAAGAACACAGTAGAGAAGTAGATATTAATGGAGAACTCACCTTGGTGGTTTCAAGAACGTGAATTCCTGCAATTGGAGAAGAAATCGTTACCCTGGGAGAAGGAATCGACGGTTTGGGAGCAGGAATCGATTTCTTGGAGAGGAAATTGGGAGTAGAAAAAGTACCCAATAGAGAAGTAGAGATTAATGGAGAACCCACCTTGATGGTTTGAAGTAGAGATTAAACGGAGAATTCCGTATTCTTGGGGAGAGAAATTGGGATTTATGTTGGCGATAAATAAGATAGAGTTTTGATTTGAACGGTTTAGGGATCGCTTTAATACGTTGTACCATTAGCAATAGAGGTTGTTTTTAAGTAATTTGGCTTTAGTAGGTTGTATTATATGCTTAAAAAGTTGTTTTTTAGAATTTTAAGAGTTTTTAAAAGTTTTAGCCAAATGCTTTATAAGATAGTATAGATATATAAAACATTTGGCTAAAACTCTTAAAACTCTTAAAAACTCTTAAAACTCTTAAACTCGTTCATCCCTAAATGATTTCATCCCTAAATGATTTCATCCCTATCCGATTTCATCCCATATCTGAATTCATGTAACTAACTGCAGATAAACACAATCAAATACATGATAAACATCTCATTTTAAATATAAAAAATCTAAAATATAATTAGTATAATCATTAAATTCTAACAGAATA